TAACATTTCAGACAAAAAACCATTAGTATCGGCCAAAATCAGAATTGGTAGTTCAGGTTTTTTACAAAAGATCGGTAATCGGAAACAATTTTTTGATAAAATAATTGCTTTGTATCCAGTTTTATTTAGTCAATTATTGAATGATTTATTACATTTTTGGCTTCTTGGGGGATAAATATATCTTCTCAGCTCTGAGGGCTGCATTGTGTTAAGTCCGGAAGAAGAAAAACACAGTAGACATTATTACAGTGGCTCTAATCGTAACGTAGCGGATTATATAACAGAGTGAAAGTGAATTTCTAAGTCTCTGTAATTGATTGAGCCTAATAATGCTCGTCTTGTCTAAATGAGGGATTATTCTGAGGAGGAGAACAGTTGTCATGGACGGAGGAAATGTCTCAGATCACTAAAGTCTGATCCAGAAAAGGGCAAAAGAGACACAAAGAGAGACGTTTTTGTTAATGTGTATTTTGTTTTTTTGCAGCTGTCCAGTCTCTGAACAGCCTGAACGACCAGATCGCTCAGTTCATGGTGACCCGACCCGGCAGTCTGGCTGATGAGGAGGAGGCCTTCATCCCCGGAGAGAGGGACACCCTCAGGAAGTCCATGACCCTGATGAGACACCTGCTGATGGACGCTCAGGTAACAACGCCTTCCCTCGGTGAGAGGCAGGATAATTCAGCCGGCGCTGTGAAATGCACCATTCAGTTTCACAATCATGCTTTTCTTTATGGGTAATTGACAGTTTAGTGGAACAAAGTTTCTGTGGTTTAGTTTTGACTTCTGGAACAGCTCAATGTTGATCTCTAAGTTTTAAAAAAACAAACAAATGCTACATTTGTAGTGAATAATCTGAATAATCTGGATCGGACAGAAAGATACAAAAACTGTTGCTTTTTGTTTTCTGTCCACTACAAATGTGTAAGTTTGTTATTTAAAATCAATGTAAATATAAATGATTTTACTTGTCTCCCCAGAATAATTCAGATTTTTGAATTTGCTGTAAGATCTGCTAAAATAAATCAAAATACTAATTTAAAAATGCTTCAATCCTATAACAATACAAGATTAGTTGCTCTTTGTGTCACGAAAAAATCTTCCACTGGTGGTAATTTTAACAAAAGAGAGGAGAAAATGAATAAACTAAAATAAGAGTCCCATTATTAGAAATGAAAGACTCTTTTTCTCTGCTTTTTAAATTACAAAAAGAAGCACCAATGTTTCTTTTTAATTTTAGTTTTATGTTTACATCATCGACATGTTAATCAATAAATCAAGAAAAGGAATTAATTGTCCCAAAGTGTTTTATAATTTAATCACCACTTGCTGATTTAGAAACACTTTTCCTAATAAAAACCCATCATGATTCAGTCCACAAATCTTTGGAGAGACCCGGATCTTACTCAAAGATTTCTGTGAGAAATTATTTTTCTTTGACTTTCTTTTTTTTCTGAAGCTGCTAAATTTGTGTCTGAAGGAAGGAGAGTTGTGACAAAAATAATCACAAATAGTTTTGTCTGCTGGACTTGATTCATTTTTTGCATCCACATAAATTTAGTGTGAAAATGAAGCAAAGAAAACAAAAAATAATTTGAGTAGTTTGTGATTTGTTTTTCTCTTTCTTTACAAAAAAAACCCTGAAAATTATTCAAAAACAGGTGGAATTGAGAACAAATCTAATAAGAAAGCTCTGAGTTTTGTTTATAACTTTATGTCACACTTTGTATTTTAGAAGTTACTTTTATTAATTTGTAGGAAAGTTTCCAAAGAGCTGAGGGAAAACGTTAACAGAACAAGCTTTTCCATATATTTTTATACTTTCTCTAAAAGTTTTCTTAGCAACATTGACTGAACTAAGAGTCATTCTTCATTTCTCACAGTAAAGTCGGCCCAGCTCTGTGAGAACTTTACCAATCTGAGGGAAGCGATAAACAATTCGCTGCTGAACTTTGAAAAGTTAGTTTTTAATTCTCTTCTTGGCTGCCTGCTCTCTGTTCGCAGCTACTTTAATAGTCTTACAGATTGAACAGGAATAATCTTTTGAGCTTAAAGAAAGAATCCTTTCCAAAGTAATAACTTTTTTCTCTGTGTGTCTGCCTGCTGAGGAATGCTGCTTTTATGGATAACAAATAATCAACTTTCTCTGTTAGCACCTTTAAAATACAAGTGCAACTCAAATTGTTCTGCAGAGCAAAGGCAAGACGCATAACTAAAGAGCTAAAGGATAAAAGAGGACAAAACATAAATGCAGAAGCAGTTTGCAAAAAGCAGTGGGTACCCAGTTGGTGCCTTACATAGTGTACCAGAAGCAATAAAAGTAAACATTATATAATATAAAAGTAAATCAAAGACGGAACATAAAATGTAAAGGAAAAAATTTATAAAAGTTGGTAATATTTTTTTGCTTGAATGCAGAAGGAATGGAGAAAGCAGAAGCCTTGGCTTCATCCTGTTCATGTTTATGTAAATTATTGGTTTGCAAAGTAATACAGAAACAGAAAATCTTTATTTTGACATTAAAATGTAGTCAATATCATATATACAAGTCTGGAAAAACTAAGAGCCCACTGCAGTGAACCTCATTGAAAACCTCCTGGTTTTTCCACCAAGTATTAATGTTTTATCGTCCTGAGTTAAAACATTATTGTTATTGTTTCTAAATTAACATGAACTTGTTTTCTTGGCATTATTTGAGGTCTGAAAGCAATGCTTCTTTTTTGTTATTTCTCATTTAAATAAATACTAAATTTTTGCTTGTAATTTCAGTCATGTTGTGAGTAGTTAATAGAATAAAATAACAATGTTCATCAACATATAACTATAAAAAGTAAAATCAGAGAAACTGATCATTTAAAGTCATCTCTTAATTTTTTTCAGAGATGTTTATTTATAAAAAATAAATAAAATAAATCAAGTAAAAGAAGAACCCAGCTATAGCAAAGCATATAAACAATTATTCTAATGTTTAGAAAAAGCTGGAAGTACATCGTTGCTAAGTGTAGCAGCTGTCAGAGGCCTTATTATTAAGTTGTTTGATAAATCCAAGCTGTACATAAATTCATACATGAAATTCCTCAGCAAAGCATGAAAAGTTGGACAAACAATAGACTTGCAGACATCCAACAAGGAAGTCTGAGGAGGATATTTTGTTTTCTTTTTGTAACGTTGTTAATAACTTATTCTGAATCTGATTTCTATTCTTTCCCCCAATAATTGTTGATTCCACAGGCAACAAAGCAGGAAGATAAAATTCCCTCTTCTTCTCTTCTTGATGAGAAAATTCTGGGAAAACACAGATCTTGTCAAATCCGTAGTTTTTCTCTCATAGCAGAAAATTGTGGAAAACCAGCAAAACCAGTGTTGCCGTTGCACTGTGGGAACAATCAGGAACGGCTGCGTTCATGTTAAAATGACCCGGCACTTGACTTCCTCAGCCAAAAATTTAAAAAAATGTCACATTTCAACAATTGACTCACCTGCTTTTTTGCCCTCAAACCTGCCACCATGGTGAACATTGGCTAAATGCAATAAATGTGCACCTATTTGTCCAGATAGAGCAGCAGTAGGGGAGAAAAACACTCAGATATGTTTATGTAACTGCAGATCATTGTGAACAGAAGGTGTGCAGCTTTTCACATTAATTCACAATCATGTCAAAGTAGAAATTAACCAGCTGAGTGGAAACGTGTAATTACAACCACTGCAGTTTAAAATGTGAACAAAATGTTTGTCAGAGCTGTTTGTGCTCTCTTTTGTTTAATTTTGACACCAATCACATGTAAACTGCAGGGTTTGAATGGTCCTGCTTCCTGGAATGAAAAGGCACATTTTGCAGGCCTGTTGGCCATTTCAGCCACATTTTTCATCTGCTAATTTAATACGTTGGAAACATTTCAGTCTTCTGCACAAAAGCAGACATCGTCATGCTCTGCAGTCTTATTTCAGCGTCTGAAAAGCCATTAAAACAAGCAGTTCTGAATATCTGCAGCTCGTTTATGCAGCGAAAAATACAATATATGAGACCCACTTAAAAATAAAACTGAAAAAGTAACTTTATGATCCAAACTTAACATGCAACTCAAGTTTCAATCTCTTTAAAAATAAGATTAATTGGTTTTCTGAAGCAATATAAAACCCAAAACTAAAGAGAGTGGGGCTACCGACCAGTCGTTAATCTAAAATACAGAACATTTTGGAGGTATCCACACTAATAAAGCTGCTTTTTACAGTTAAAACCAGTTATTTTGTTTCAAAACATTTCATTGCTGCTAATGAGTGAAATTTATGTTGTTTTTTTATTATCGTGGTGTTTAGACATTGGTGCGTCCCGCTAGCATCAAAGTGAATATGCTACACTAAAATAAGAGAATGGAGCTCCAAGTTTAAAAAACTTGAGTTAATTTGTTACATGTGAGCAAATTAAGTTACTTAATTGAAGTTTGTTTAATTGACAACTTAATAAACCGAACTTGATTTGATTATTTGAAATAAATTAAATAATTGTTTTAAAGTTAAATCACCTGTCAAATATTTATTTATTGACGGTGAACACTGGATTGGCCTAATCAAAGTCCAAAATTTAAGATTTGTGGAAACACTTGCAAACTGAAGCTTTCTTGTTAAATCTGAATGATGTTTTGTAAAAAGGAATGAGCAAACATGTGAGTTTTTGCAAGATGAAAAATGTGTAAACCTGGTTTAGATCTGCAGCAAACGTTGGTGCTGCAACACCTTGACTGAGTTGGACTAAATACTCATTTTTAAATTTCTATTTGTAACAAGAACCATGAATCAGTTTACTTTTACTTCACTGATGTGAGTTCATCTCTGCACGTTAAAGTTTGTTGTTATGAGGTGACGGAATTTGACGAAACGGTCAAGAGGTATGAATGCTTTTGCAGCTTTTTCCATTTGGTTTATTATTGATAGCAAGAGAAAATCCAGGCAGAATGAAGAACATTTATGAATTACTGAATGTGTGACTGTGAACTCAGCTACCGGCATCATGACCTCCCCACACTGACTGAGTAGTTTTAAATGTGCAGTTTTTAGTGTTTTTCTTCACAGAAGAGTCTAAATTGCTCTTTGGTGTGAGTTTGAACTGTGATGGATTGGCGACCTGCCTCGCTTTCCGCCTGGAGATAGGTCAGCATAGCAGACTAAAGACATCTGTGTGCAGCACCACAAAGAATGATTTCTCCTTTTACACCTTTTTTATTTCACTTATAAAGTTATTTATTTGTGCATTAAGGCATATAAACCCCTTCATTCATTCATTCAGTTGAAATATTGATTGAAGTGTCCCTCCGTTCTCCCCGCCACAGATGAGATTGTAATCGATCAGTGAGGAGTGACTCTCATTTGTCACTTTATTTTAACTTCCTTCTACTTTTTGATGAATGCTAAATAAACCCCGACACACTGATTCAATTGTACGAGCACCGTCGGCGTCGTGGATGATGGATGCCGAGCTCTGCCCTCGTCCTCCTGGAGATATTTTCTCAGACGCAGCGTCATTGATTAAAGGGAAGGTAATTCAGCAAAAGGCCATTGCTTTCACCTCCGCTCAGAGGTGAAAGATTATTGGCCTGCAGTCTGTTCCTCCTGTTCGCTGGGAATATCCGTGGCATTGGGAGGAGCGC